GGGGGGGGTCCTCTGTGAATCTCATAAACCCACATCCTTCAGAGTGCTGGCTGGGAAGGGGCTTGGAAACTCTCTGGTCTAATCCTTACCTTCATGTCCCGGTCCAAGAGAGAGCGGTCGATCTTCTGATATTCCTTGCCCGAGCGTGGCCTCAACGTGGTGGTCGCTTGTAGCCTGTGAAAAGACACAACCCGACGATTTATTATTCTCCGTTTTTGCGCGAAATGTAGCATTGCAAATTGATGTGCTAAGCGGAGTGTGCACTCACCTCATGCAGTCAGGATTATCAGAGGACGAGTGTGAGGACAGCGACAGCGTCTCGATGTAGTCGGACATGTCGGAGGTCCCGGAGCTGGTGGACGTGCAGTCCATGTAGGGCACGGGCGGCACGTCACTGTTGGGACTCGATCGACCTGAAACACGGCAGCGAATAGATGTTTAGTAGGGGCGCACTGGACCAGATCATCGGACCAGAAGAGAGCTGAGGGCAAAAGTGAAACTTACCTTTCTTGGTGGGACAGACGGGGACCTCGGCCTCGGCCGACGACGACTTAGGCCCGGTGCCCATGCGGTGGAACTGGAATGTGATCTCCTTGAGGGGGTCCGAGGACTTGGACCGCCTCTGGAGAGAGGCGTGCATGCAGGCGCCCTGGCTGCCGGCCAGCCGCTGCGCGCGCCAGTTGGTGGACAGCGCGGTGGTCAGCGGCAGCTCGAACTCGACGAAGTCGGTGGCGCGATGCCGCATCGAGCCGATGGACACGCCCGAGTCGTTGGAGCTGGACGAGTCTCGGTTGTTGCCCTTGCACGGCACGCTGGACGACCGGCGGATGTGCACGCCCGCCGAGGACGGCGACGACGACGACGTGGAGCCGGCGCCGCCCGTCTCCTGCACCAGGGTCTGGATGGAGGCGCTGCTGCCGCTGGTGCTCGCCACACCAGACGGCTCGCTGTCCGGCTCGGCGTCCTGCGCGCCGTCCTGGGCACTGGCGCAGCACGGCGCCTCCTCGACGTCGTCGTCCTCCTCCTCGCCGTGGCCGTTGGAGTGCGCCACCTCGCACTGGCTGAGCAGCGAGTTGACGGAGCTCACCCGGCTGGAGGGCTCGCTCTCCTCGTGCTCGTCCAGGTAGCGCGACGAGTCGGCCGAGTTGGAGCGCCGGCGCGCCAGCATCTGCATGCGACGGCTCTCCTGGTCGTGGCTCATGTCCCGCCGCAGGTGCGGGCTGCCGAGGCTGCCCATGAGCATCGCCGAGCCCGGGATGCGGACGAACTCGGAGTCGATGCGCTTCTTGGCGCGGTCCACGCACGGGGCGCCCGCCTGCTGCGCCAGGCTGGGGATGCTGGCGGACTTCTCCGAGCTGGACGCGAGGCCGCCGTTGAGCCTGTCGAGCGCCATCCTCATCAGGTCCGCCTTGTTGGCGGCGAGGGCGGGCACGGCAGGCGCGACGGGCGCGGGGGCCGCGGCCGGGCCGTTGGTCTGCTGCGCGCCGGTGAGCGGCGACATGTGCAGGTAGCCGGGGAAGTTCTTGCTCCCGGGCCGCGGGGACGCCTCGGCCGGGGCGGCGGCCGGCGGCTGGTTGGGGTCCATCATCATGTAGTCGTCCAGGCGGCCGTTGGTGGAGGTGATGGTGGAGCAGGTACTGGTGTTGCTGGTGTTGGCGGTGGGGGCCGGTGCTGCGTCGGCCTCGTCGTCGGCCTCTTTGCCGGGTTGGCAGTGGCCGCACTTGGCGCACATCTTGGTGCATGAGGTGATCTGGTGCGCCAGGCTCTCGGCCTCCTTGGCCGTGATGCCAGCCCGCTGCAGCACGTCCCTCGAGTTCTCGTAGAGGTCGAGCGTCTGCGCAAAGTGGATGTTGGCGTAGTTGGGGCACGGGTCCTCAGTCTCGGCGTCCTGCTCCGCCTTGGCCTCGGCCTCTGTGAGCACGTCCAGGTTCTCGTAGTTGAGCGTCGGGTCCGAGGGCCGGTGCTTGTGCGCGTCAGCATCCTCGTCCTCCGCCTTGAGGCTTTTCCGACGGTTGGTCTTCTTCGAACGGTCGATGGTGGCGTACAGCTCCACCTCGCCGCGCTGGTTCACCACGGGCATCTTTCCCTGGCCGCTGAGGCGCACCTTGACCACGGCCGAGTTGTCGACGCCGTTGCCGCGCCGGCAGTAGGCCAGCGGCCAGCACGCCACCCTCTGGCAGGGGCACTCCCTGTTCAGGTCTCCCTCCAGCACGGTCCGCCCGTCCTGCGACACCACGGCCGTCTTCTTGGCGCACTTCATCACGAACGCGCAGGGGGCGGCCATGCCGGCGACGGCCTTGGCGGAGGGCGGCGTGTCGTAGTTGCCGTACTGGTCGGGTCCGTCCTCCGTCCTGGACAGGCACTCCTTGACGTTCTTGGGTGTGTCGTAGTACTCGTCCGGCCCCGCCGACCCGCTCAGCGAGAGCACCTGCGACTGGTCCGCGGCGCCGTCCTTGAGCTGCGCGGCCAGCGGCCTGGGCACGTCGTAGTTCTCGTAGGGGCCGACGTGAGGCGCCTCGTCGCCGAGCCTCAGGCACAGCTGGGGGTTGTGGCACGCGCACGCGTGCACCACGTAGTCCTTGTCCTTGCCCAGCTCCTCCTCCGGCAGCGGCATGGGCGCTTTCCGCTTCTTCTTGGACGGCGAGGTCTGGTCCTGGCAGGGCTTGGGCGGCCGCGCCGGTGGGCACTGGCACTGCGCCGGACTGGCGCACCCGCAGCCGTTGGAGAGGTACGACAGCCGGGGGACGGAGTATTCGGAGGTCTCGCTGCTGTCGTGCGAGCTCATGGACATTCGATCACAGATGCTGCTTGCGGCCGTCTTGGGCCGCGGGGTGGTGGCCGCGTGGTGCATGTGGAGGTGGTGGTTGTTGAGGAGGTTGTGGTGGCAGCAGGGCGCGGCCGGCGCGGGCTGCTCGGTGGGCCAGGCGGGCGCCAGGGGCGTGCCGGGCGTGCACGTCGACGACCTGGACATGGCGGGGGCGCCCAGCTTGCTGAAGCACGACGTGCACCGCTCCATGGCGGATCGGTTGCCGCGCTGCAGGCTGTCGCCGAGGGCCAGCCCCCACGCGTCGCCGTGGATCTGGCTCACCGAGTCCGGCATGCACGAGGCGGGCATCTCGCGCACCGACGCCGTGTCCCCGCAGCCGTAGTTGCTGTCCAGGTCGCCGCCGACGCGCGAGCTCTCGGCCGACGGCCAGAAGGGGGAGTGGCGGTGGCTGCCGTAGGGGAAGTCGTCCCCGTCCTGCGGGCACGCGCAGTCCTCCGAGCAGCAGCAGCTGCCATCCCCGACCCCAGTCAGGATGACCGAGTCGGCGCAGCTCAGCGTCCCCGACCTGCTCTGCGACGTCTTGCGGCTCGGGCTGTCCATCACTGCGGAAAGAACAATAACGCGTCGATTGAAATAGACAACAAATGATAAAAAGTGACCACAAACTTGTGTCATTTTTCAGACTGTAGCTTTGAAGTTTGGTTGCGTGTACTCACCAGACATGTTCCTAGAGAGCGTTCTCCGCCTGGTGAAGAGCTTGCTCTGGGCGGCGAGCCGCAGCGCGCGCTCCAAGTCCTCAGCCTGGTCCGAGACCAGCACGTGCACGCCCTCGCCCTTGCCGCAGCGCGAGCCGCCCTCGAAGCAGAACTTGCCCTCGACGACGCCGTACCGCCTGCAACAGAGAGTACCCGAGAGTCAGCGTCAGCGAGCTTCCCACAAGCACAAGATCAGCCAGTATCGTACGTTATCGAAACGTGCGCGTTTAGGCGAAAAAGACCCACCCACAAAACATTACAAGTCAGTGGTGATCGGACAGAAGGGCGTAAGTCAAAA